CTTCTTCTTCTTCTTCTTCTTCTTCTTCTTGTTCTTACACTACTACACACACGCGCGCGCACACATACATTGTAGACAGAGTATGATTACGATGACAACAACGACGAAGACGACGAGATTGAAACGGGCACTTGGTACCGTTTTCCTTTCGCCCTTCTTCCTTTTATTTCGACCGGTTACCAAGGTAAATCTTCACGTCTACCAGACTAGAACCAAACAGGCACGTGTGCGACTTCTGAATCGACGATGCGCGTAAAAGAAAAGAGAGAGAGAGAGAGAGAGAGAGAGAGATAAACAAGCAAACTATAGGAAATAAGAGAGAAATAATATTGGCACGATTTTTTTTTGTATAAAACAAGAAAGGAACATATGGAAAATGATAATTGAAGAGGAGACTGATATTCGTTCTTTTTGTTTTCTTCTATTTTTCATTTTCTTTTTTGTTTTTTTTGTTTTTTTCTTCCCTTCTACGAATTTCGAGAAGCAACGACGATAGCGAAGATGTGGATCATAATAATAATTGACATCGGACGAGATGAGTTAGTTGAAAAGAAAATGGATGATATATGCGGCATATGTGAAGAAGATATTTGACAAATAGTAAAAGAATAACAGAGAGAAAGAGAGTGATGTTATAGACTTCGGGCTATTGGGTAGCACGGATCGGTGGAAACCAGTTATTGGTGCTCGCATAGCTCTTATGGTAAGCATCTAATTATCTTTATGATAGTATATAATCTTTAATTTTATTGCATCGAAAGATTTAAAATTTAAAGAAATGCATCCAAAGAAAGAGACATACAGAGAGAGAGAGAGAGAGAGATAGAAATTAATTATTTATTGACAAAACACAACTGCATTCTAATATTAATTTTCTTATGCTATAATACTTCGACGTATTAATTTAAACAAATTATACATGAAATAATTGCATTACACAAATATACACGCGTACATATGTAGGTATACGTATATACTGAAAAAAGATTGATATTAAAAAAAGAAAAAAAAAAAACAGAAATACAACAAAGTTATTTTAATTACGTTAAAATTAGAATCGTACGCGAACGAATGTGAATCATTTGATTAGAATATATATTTAAATAAGAAAAAGAAAATCATTCTAAATAATTCGAACAAAGTTGAAACGTTCGAGGAAAGTTTTCGAACGATACTCGAGGAGGAAGGTATCAAGCGTGTTTCACGTGATCGTATACACACACACACACACACACACACAGCTATATATATGTACTTTCTCTCTATAAATAACAATTCACTGTAGTCCTGCGATAACAGGCGCGACCGGGAANTTTAAAGTTACACGCATTCAATGATTATTATTTGATTTCTTTTTCGGTAGATAATTAATTGATTATTTATACTAAAAAAAAAAAAAAAAAAACTAACAAAAAAGAAAAGAAAAATTAACATTTATTAGCATATTGGATTAAGTTCCAAGTTGTAGGGGATAGTTTAATTAATATTCTATAATATTTTGTTCTTCAAATTGGAATTGTGGATGTTGGTAAGTTGTAATGTAAGTTAATAAATTTCTTTAAGTCAATTTTGGTACGTAAATTAGAACTGTTAGTTGATTATTATTATTCTTCTCGGATTCAGCAATCTCATAATTCACACAGATTTGCGAAAGATAAAAGATTTGATTTAATTTAATTAAAACGTATATTTTTATTACTCCGTCAATTTTGATCGACGTAAAAATGTTTCATTACGTACGAAATCAGACTGATGCAAGATTAAAGAAATTTAATAGGATGCATTTTTATAAACAAAAGTATCACGTCTTAGCGATGGCAGACGTTCGCAGACGAGTAACCGGAAGTTTTTATAAGTATAAGTTTTCATAAACATTTGAGATAAGATATTAGTCGTTTGATAAATACACTAAAGTAACGGTTGCATCTTACTATTTAAATGAAATCGCTAAGTGAAATATTCCAGACCTTCGATGAAGGAAATATTCATGAACGAAACAAAAATACTAATAATAAACTTACGCAATTGTTTATAAACTGGAATAATCTTCCATTAGAGAAAAACATTTGTTTACAAAAATATATAACAATTTGTAATCTATCGATCTCTCTAACAATAAATAATTGCATGATACTTGATAAAAGACACAAATGTCAATCAATTATCGAAAAAAGACATCTCCGTTTATCGAATTATCAACTTGTTTTGCCAGAAATTCTCCATCGATATCTAAAAGTGGAAATTACATGGCCTTTGATATTTCATAAAACACTTTGATAAATATGAATAATAATAAACAAAATTATACGGCAAATATTGTTTGACATGGAAGAATTTTTTAAATGATTATTTCAATAAATTGTAGATATGAAAGAAAGTGAGGTCAAATGCATAGAAAAAAATGTACGATCTGTTGCACAAATCCGATCGATCGGAATTTCATTTTCCTTTCTATCTCTTATTTAAATAAAAGAAACAATTTTTAATATCTCTCTTTTTATCCCTTTTTTTTTCATTCCTTTAACGATCGTTACGTAATATTTAAATGCAAATTTTACAACAAATAATTATTGCATGTATGTGTTTATACACTTCTCTAGTTCTCTCTCTCTCTCTTTCTCTTGCATAATTAAGGTCAACATTTAGGTATCTATAAGCTGGCACATTATCATTGACACTATCGATAGAGTTTATATATTGAATGTTACGAATAAAGAACTTAAAATCAAAGTCGAGCCACTTGTAAAAATAGCAAACTGTAAATAGAGAAATATTCTTATATATATACATATATTTACATATGTATATGTTTTTATCAAAAAATGTCTCGACGATGCATCGACTCGTCTCGCGTACAAGAAATCCTCGTATACCATGTTCTTGTGCCAACTGAACAACAAACTTCGATTTAAAAATGGATAGAAAATATATATATGACCTGACGAACTATATATCATGTAAACAAACTAAAAAATTGGGCTCAAAAAATTCTTTGATAATTTAAACAATAATTTAATTATTTTTCTTCGAGACTCATTAGACTCGGATTCTAAAATCACAAGTTTGGATTGAAAAATGATAAATTTACTCAAAAAAAAGTTTTTCAAAATTTTATCCCATTCTTTAACAATTATTTATAATATTATTTAAATAACATATATATTATATATAAATATATCGAATATTTCGTTAGATAGATGCGTGATTCTTCTTCTTCTCACGTGTTTTACGATAGGACACATTTGCAATGACAATAATTTAACTTTCATATCGATATCTCTCAAAAAGACAAAACTTATTTCAGGAAATCACGATCTTCGATCGTGCCGATCTTTCGATAATAAAATATCTAACGTCAATAGCTTGCTTTCTTTCCTCTAAACTTTCCTAGAACGTGTCTCGATATATTTTATTTATATCTTCTATCATTTCAAGAACAATTGACGTTGGAATTCGAAAGATCCGATCTCTTGTCTTGAGACTTTCTTGATCGTTACGAACACACACACATGTGTGTATGTGGTGTATGTAGGAATTCTATATTATATATTTATATGTGTAATCCCACACACATCGAATATAAACCTCTTTTAATTTATTATCCAAGTGACTCGTATATATCCAGGTTTGATGATTCAAAAAATCCCTACGCAAATTTTAAGCTCTGATTGCCGCTGCTGTTGCTGTATATTCATAGTTGTAACGATAAGGATGGATCATCGTCATCGTAATCGTCATCGTTGTCATTCGTATGCATCCAACTTCGAAATAAAATGACATTTTATTTCGAATGTAAAATAGTTGAATTACGGAGAGAACTATTCGTTTTATTTGTACTTTGTACGTAGAATAATAAGCATTTT